ATCTTCGGCAATATTCCTCGAACTACGGACAGACGCAGATGCTACATAGAAAATAATGATCATGTTCAGAATCTAGACGGAGATGGCAATGGTGATCGAAGATGGCAGACAGCTAAGATGACAGATTTACTATTCACTGATTCAAAAGCTCACCGCATCACCAATTTCGCCACCAGAAACACGTCTGCTGCCGTTTCTGCAGACCTGCACGACGTTGCCAGGCACGCCGAATCCGAAATATCCGAGGTAATATCACAAAGTTGATGGAGTGTGGAGGTAAGTAGCACGCGAATTTCTAAAAATATATTCACCTGATTTCACCGTCAGCACAATTTCACCCGATTTGAATGAAATCGATATCATTCTTTTCATCCAAAGTAAAATAAATTTTAGCGTAGACAACAGATGAAGCGCTACAAGGGTAGCTAGATGCAATCAAGTACCTAAGAAGAGATTCAGAGTGTTTTTCCTTGACCTCTGTCTCACAAACTCTGCACCATCCTCAACCTAAATATACACTGGTTTCCTAATCACAGCCAACATCCAATGTGCGCGCGGCCGGGTTCATCTCTTCCAAGGGCATCTCTTCAAGGGCCTGCTGCAATGCCCTTGAAGAGCATGCAATTCGAAGTCCAGATTAGAAAATTCCACGCCTGCGCATTGCAGAAGATCTTAGATCTATGACCAGAAGATCTTGTTAGATCTTCTGGTCATACAAAGAAGCCCCAGAAGCAGATTCACATGAACTACGCATCTCTGAGATTGACAGATAGGACATTGTGCATGAAATTTAGGAGAAGCATGGCCTTTAGTTTAGATTGCTCTCTTGTTTAAACACAGATAGTACCTGAGAAAAACAACACATCGTAGTTTGAATTCCGGTCCATCATACAGTTGTTCGACGTTCATCGTGCAACAACAAAAAATTCAATCAGGGATATGTATAGAACCCCCCACGTGACAAGTGAATGAAATCCAATTGGTTGAGAAGGTAGCCTCGCATGCACAACCAACAACAACCACTTGGCTTCGCCACCCTATGATCGTCGAGAGCGAACCTCGCTGTCGACGATCATAGATTCCGGAATTTCATTCCCGAGCGACCTTCGGGAAAGAAATCCCGAAATTCTGGCCCGCTTAAATCGGGAAGCCACGTTATAGGCTCGGCTTGTCCTTCCAGACGCCGTATAAGGTCCTGTACAGAGGAGGGAAGCTCCGGTTCTTCGTCTGCGGAGTACATTGCCCGTGTCGCAAATTCAGAAGCGTGATTGACAATGGACGCACCTGCATCTTCCTTTCTCTCCTCCACTCTCACAGACGAAAAACCATTTGCTACTTGGCATACGCGGGCGGAATGTTACCGAGATTACAGGAAGCACTCTCCTCGATCTGAAAGCCTGGCTCTCCCGAAGAACACTGATCTTCACGTTGTAGTGTCACAATTCGTGTGCATGTACGTGCTGGGCATGAGACTTCTTGCATTGTGCACAAGTAGCGACACAAATATCACTCCGAGATCTGCCGATACGCGGATCATGAGCAATCATTACGAACACAGGGAGATTGCGCAAAGTGGAAGCAGGGAATCAAAATCAACACAGAAGACCAGGATTCTAGTTCCAAGCTGAAATCGTAGACCGTGTGGCAAAAAAGACTTCACGTCTATCGGAAACGCCTCTGGGAGATAAGGGTGGGAGAGAAGGGTTTGATGTGCACTGGTGACCGAACTGAGTAGACAAGATGATAGGAGGATCTGAAATCAATTTCTTAGCAAAGATGGTGCGATGTGAAAGCCGAATGTCATGCAATGCATGATATTGCAGATATCTCAGATCTAACAAACCCTGAGTTGTGTAAAATCTTGAGGTACAATTGTACTGGGAGAATGCGAATCTAGCTGCATCAAGACCAGCGGGAAGATAGACCCTACGATGGCTAGAGCGGGAAAAAAGCATGCATCGTCTTCAATCAGATCTTCTCATTGAATCGTCTGAGCCATCAAGGTAATGACAACATTCGAACACAAAATTCGTGTTCCTTCATACTCTGTGATTGGAACATGGTGTTAGAAGGGTCAGAATAGATCTCGACTTTGTTGTGCAAGCGAAGAGTAAACGTGGGTGAATGCGTCAGTGTGATGATATCCTCGATGATGTCACACTGACAAGTGAAATTATAAATTTCTTCTTTATTAATCCATTTATCTGGGATGTTTGATCTATTCGAGCAAGTGGATGTATTCTGACAGCTGAGTCGCACATGCGTAGTCAGCTTGGTGTCATAAGCATGCTACTTTTGACCCAGAACAGTTGTCTACATAATTGTAAATAACTTGTAGGTTCAGAAAAAACTGATAAGCTTTTTGGGAATTTACTAACTATGATATCGAAGAACTGTGTACAGAGTATACCAGTACTCGAGGCTCTCAACTGCTTGTATGATTGTTCTTCTAACCCAACTGTCAAGCATGTGAAAGCATGCACAGTTCTAGTTCCAGAATCTGGAGGTCTTTACACTTCAAATCGAATTTCGTACGTGCTGAGAACACTCTTGCTTGTTTATCGCGTCGTTTAGAACCAGCATGATCCTGGCTAAGAATAAGGTAAATCTTCTGAAGAAGTTACATTTGTGGAACTTGCTTGCAACTGAAGACAAATTTTGCTGTACACACGACTTGAAAAATACTTCCTATGCTAAATGTTAGCTGACAATGATTTAAACCAAGACATAATTCATTCAAAGTGAAAGTGTTATGTTTCTCATAATATTTCTTATTTGCTTCAGAGATTTTGACTATAAGATTCTTCAGATGTTTTAGTTGCTTTATATAGATGCATCATCAAGATTATTGCAACTTAATAATATTTTTAATATAACAACTTTACTAATGATATGAAATGTTAGATGTTTACGACTTAAATACTAAATTTGGAACAAAAAGGTAATTAGTGCCCCCTAAGTAGTTTTTGTCACCTGCCATCATCTTTCTTACTACTCCAATGAAGCAATTTTTTTACTTTCATACAGTCCAAGTAATGGCTGTCATAACAAGATGCAACGAAGAGAGGTATGATACGCCCTTCTCACGAAGAGTTTACCCTGCAACTTGCAGTTGGTATCGATGCAATGTAGAAATGCTGGACTAATGATGGGCAAGTGGCACACAAGCTGAACGCGACTCGACATTCTCAACAAGCTCTAGTATCAAAGTAAAACATTGTAGAAGATAGTCACCGACAGCTTCGACTCCGAGCCTCCGTTTGAAGTTTCTGGGAAGCAAGAATTAGCTTTACATTCCTCGACGACCCCACAGTCCTTGGGTGGGACCATGATGGCCATCTCCGACCGAGTGGATTGCTCAGTAGCACAAGTGCCTTGCACCATGGGCTACGATTTACGTACTCTTGTTTTGCATGTAGCACATGTGCAAGGATGTAAAAGGGTGGCAGTCATGTGAAAAAATATAATATTGTATAGTAATTTATCAAGAAATTGCCACTTCAATGTGAACTATCTACGAATCGCTAGCCAAAGTGTATGTTTTGGTTCACAACTAGTCATAAATGCTATTAGAAATCATTACATCTACACAATCCAGATATTTTTAAATTGTGACCTACTTAAGATCTAATCAATTGGCCAAGTTTCGATTTTGATTAAAAGTCAAACTTTTTATTTATATTACTCCTCTTACTTTCAGTACTAATTTTTTTTATTTCATGATGTGAGATTTCAAACTTGAATTGATCTTTGTTGTTTTGTATTCTTTCTAGTACATAATGCTCAAGCTTTTGATTAATAAAAATTTGTTAGAGATAGTTATCTTGCTAGCATTATGAAGTTGATTGCATTCATGTTGTTCAATTACACGAATCTATTATTTCACAAGAATGCAAAGTTCATGGATTATGAAAAAATAAAATCCTATCAAATATTTTTTTGGATTGTGGTTTCCAAAAAGATGAACACTTTAGATGAAGTATCGCTTACTGCCCACAAATCAGAAAGCGTTTGAATCTATCATTTGATGTGTGTTGAAATGCGGGTTCCCATGTAGCCTACCATAATAGTGGATTAAACAAATTTGACCTCTAGTTGATTTATTGTTCATTGTCAATATATGCTTCAAATTAGTAAATTCCAATATGAAAAATTGGATTTGACTTATTTGAAATATGAATGGACTTGACCGGAATACTAATCTTCCGATAGTCAATGGAAGGTCGCACACATGGCCAATATAAAATTCCAATATACATTTTTCGAAGAAGTTGGGTTATCCGATGTCAGTCATGATACGAGTGATGCTGCTTGAGGTTCTCATCAATCTTGAAGTGAACAAGAATGGATCTAGAAGAAATAGTCAGCCCCACTCTAATCATGAGGCACTACATTTTATTTGTTTTCAAAGTTGGATTATAACCTACCATTGTTAATTATATTCTTTGATCAGTTAAAGTCTCTCTATAACTAACAATTACTAAAATGAACTGCATTTTCGAATTCGTTGCGCTAGTCATATATGTTTTTTGATATGTCACAATGTACATTTGAACATATAATTTTTTTTAAAGCTAAAGTGAATATCAAAGTTTTTTTAAATAAACCATCGCAAAATGGAATTTCTCCAAAGCACATCCTTATCTGCAAACTGCAACTTACTAGTACTATGATATATTTTTGAGATCTAAATATTATCATCATATTCTTCTTATTCCATGAGGAATAATTCACAATCAAAGAAAGAACAAGTTATCTCTAATATCATTGTAATAAAAGACTTAAGAAAATAATTCATTCGAAAATGCAACACAACAATGAAAATGAAAAATATATTCAATAATTCTCTTTTCAATTATATAGAATTTACCAACAAAAAAAGTATAAGAAATCTCACTTGTACCATCTATTCTATTCATAATGGATTAATAAAATGACGAATAACATTAACAATCATATAAATCTAAAACTCATTGATGTAAAATAATATATATACATTCTTTATCTAGTAAACACAAGGATTATTAACTTCTCTTTGTCAAATAACACTCTTGTTATTTATCTAACAAGCACACAAATATCAATTTTTCCAAAAAGAATTGGAGCTTCAAATCCTATTCTCATTTCAAGTCTCAATGGATCTCCATAAACAACTGAAGCTCTCGCTCAATTTCCTTTTCACAACTCCTACCATCCCACAACATTGCGAAGCTAACTGTTTCACCAATTGTTGCTGAATTTGTTCACCTTCTTAATCATTTGTTGCAATATTCGTGACCTGTGGCATTTTTTAGCAAGATCAGATCATTTCTGTCTTCTACGTCAAATTTGTAACCAGGAAATAGCAGAAATCCATGCCCAAACATGTTCTGCAGAAAATCAAAGACCGTATACAGAGAAGCATAAAATATCCTGTAGCACTCTGCGCATTCGTAAGATCTCGATACTAAGAGAAGTTAATGGAAGTTACCTTGCGTTGAATCTTATCAAAAAATTCTACTAAGATCGTATATGAGCTGCTATCTCTACTCTTTGATTGACAGAGTGAAAAGTGATCTTCCTCCAAAATGCTGAAATCTCCACATCTTGCAGATGCCTCTTCAACTATGATATCACAAAAACCGTTTCTCTGGAGAGGAATAAACAATGAGTATCGTACGCAAACGAAGCAGATTGATTGATTGAAGCAAGAGTAGGTATATTTATAGCCATAACAAACTTATACTGTAGAGAGTCTATTTCAATATGAATGCAGGCATGCCAACTTCTCGCATACTTCTGAAAACAAGGGACCACATGACAAATATGTCCAAAGGAGGAACTATGCGGAGTGAAACTAACAAGAGCAGGTATATTTATGTACGTAAAAAACATATACCATAGAGACTTTCAGTCTATTGCAATGTCAATGCATGCATGACACCTTCTCGCATACTACTGAAAAAAAGGGACCACATGACAAATATGTCCAAAGGAGCTACTATGCAGAGTGATTACTGAAAGTTACCAGCTTCGTAGGTTTCGATTCACCCACGCCTGCGACTTTCCACTCGTACTTAGTACAAAGACGGTCAAAAACATCATTAAGCCTTGCCAAGTCTTTGTTGAGCACCTTCACGTAGTCAACCAACTCTCCTTTCTCGAAGTTGAGTTTTTCTACAACATTTGTGAATAAGCTTCCACGATGAGGCACTCCGAAGCAGAAGAGGCCTCTCAGGTTTTTAAGAAGCGTGGTTCTTTTTAGAATATCATCACCAAGGTCCCTATTTTGGTGAGCTTGTCGACAAATTTCTTTCGAAATTATTCCTCCAAAACTGTGACCAACGAATATGACTGGTCCAGTTTGACCAACACCTCGCGTTATCAGCTCGCGCAACAAATTCTCTGACACTTGATATATATCCATTCTCCCATTTCTGCTATCCTTCTTCATGCTGGCGTCGTAGGAGACTGCAAGTATACGCAAGCTAGGGTTGTATTTGTGAAGCCACTTCAACCATACTTCTCCTGTCTTAGATCTCCAAGTCGATAGATGTTCACCCGCAGGCCCTGGCCGAAGACCATGGAAGAACACAACGTCGGTTCGGTATTCTGATGCAGAGCTCAGCTCGTAAACTGAATCACTCGTCTAAACACATCGCATTGTCGATTCTAGTCAAGGGAGAACAATCCTTACAGTTTTTCTGAACAAGAACTTTGAAGTGAGATTCTGTCTTCCGGCTACCTCGGATATGAGAAGGACATACATCGAGTATATTCCAAGTATTATATGCAAGAGAGTTGAAATCTGAAAAGGTAAAGATCTAAATAGAAGGCATGATGAAGAAGATTGTTATATTGTTGATTGGCGTTTGCAGGACGCTTGGACTTGAGAGGAAGTAAGCTTGCACATGGTGATAGGATAAATTCACATGTTTGCTGCCTAGAAGCATAAGGAAGATAACACTCTCGAATGATGCTCAGCTCATGCTCAAACTGACATGCTTTATTGTGCAGAAAGAATTCAGACGGTAAAAATGGGCAGAAGCTAATACGAGAATCAAGTAATGCTTGCGTGTGACATAACTGAGTGTGAATTCCGTACCTGATTATAACCAGTTTCCCGGAAGTTTCGAGCACAATGTGCAATGTACCGTTCAGAATCCGGCGATGTGAAATCCGGAGTATATAGACGAGCCCTGCCATGAAAGAAAAGAAACAACCGTGCAAAAGCCCTGCAACGAAATAAAAGAAGCAATAAGTCTCATGTTCATATTTAGAGGTGAGAGCTGCTCCATGGAATCATGCGAAGGAAGGTAAACCTTTAACGCTTTAGAACAGCCAGCGTTGTTATGGATATTCTTGTCCACTCAGACCTTCGCATTATCAGGCATGTGAAAGGCACTCTGCCATTATATAGCTCCAGGGCTAGGGCAACCAAAGTCTGATGTTACAGATGTATATCCAAAATAGTAACTGTAACGCAAGCTTAGACATTCAAGTAAATCTTTCTCCAAGAATAACTGACGGAATAATCAGCCGTAGTCGACTACCTTCGATGAATTCGAGTCCTGTAGAGTCAAGTTTTATACTCGAGGAGCTTTAGATCCTCGAGTATAAAACTTCCTTCCACTTGCTGATTACTGTGCTTGAGGTTCGGAATCAGACCTTAAAGAATGATAGAGAATAGGTACTAATGAGGTTCGAGGTTTAGCAGCTCAAGAATTCCGATGTTCGCACAAGATGGTCAATCACTTCCTAATTTGAAGGAATCTGGAACAAATGTCAGATTACAACACTTGAAACTGAAAGACCACAGTACGGAATCCGATATCAAGAACATATGAGCTCGAGATGTAAGGCGGAAGAGCGTTCTTCGCCATGGCATATGGAAAAAAGACCTCCAAACCCACTGCTTATTCCTCTACACTCGAACCTGACAAAGTGCTGAAAAGTACAACGTACTTGAGTATTGGCGTGTTTCACAGTATTTGGAAAAAGCCCAACACCATTCTGTGTGGTAGATGAACTGTAAGTTGTGGCACAAGTCCCTGTCTTCGCCAAGAAAGCAGCAGAAAACTGTCCATCAAACTCTTTTACGAATCAATCACATCTTCTACACATCTTCTCGAAAGTTTCTTTACCCACCTCGTGGCTGGAGATCGTGTATCCATTGTTGTCAATTTACGACGAGAACCGGATCTGCGTTTTTGGCGTTTCCAGAGCCTCATGGAAACAGAATTCACAGTTAAGGAAAAAGAAGTAAATCTGCGTTTCCAGTGCCTCATGGACACGGATTTCAGAGTTAAGGACAAAGAAGTAAATCTGAAGCGAACAATCCTCCGTAGAGGCAACTGCAGCTATAACCGAGTCCTTCGCGAGTCCTTCAAGACATATGGGTCTCTTGTAACCAGATAAGGCCACACATGTCTAAGCTACAACAGAGCATCTGAGCTGCTCTACCAAGCTGTCTTCAATGACCTCTCTAATTCCCATCATATTGAGTCAAAGACTTCGTAGCAGTGATCCACCGAAACGCTTTGAAATCGTCTGGTAACAAGTTCACAGTCCACTGTGAGACTGAACTTTGTCACGTTTGAAACTCTCTGAAGCACTCTGAAAGCCCATAAACGAACCCTACACACAAATGACATAGAAAAGGCCTCTCACCACGCGGAAACCAGGTGAATAATTGCATGCAGTGAGAGCGGACTGTCACTAGTCGGTCATCAATCCGTACATGTGGTACGAGGAGTTCTTTGACTCTGAGGCGTGAGTCATGTATATGTCGAAATCCCACGCGTTCCAGGAAGGAACACATTTTGCGGCGCAGTGAGACGAAAACGCGGCGTGCAGCATTGAAGTCGAAGGTTGAACATTTGCCGAGATTCTTTGCAGTTGGGCAGAATGAACTGATGAATTTGTGTTTAGTCACTCCCAGTTATCCTGCTGAGGTCTTCATCCAGTTACCTAAAGACCTCGCCATGCGGAAAGCATAAAGCAAGCATAAAAGTCAGCGCAATGGGGAAGATTGATAAGATCTTTATGCAGCATCCAGACAGCTTCTATGTCCATGAGAAGAAACTCAGAAGATGTTATAAGAAGGAAGAATGCCACGTAGAAAGCAGAGAATTATGGGGGGACCCATCAAACCTTACGTGGATGTCTTTGTCAGCTTGCGGTCATTCATTCGTACAAAAACAAGCACTCCTGGTACGAGGAAGGACCGATCCCTTGTCGACTGCATGTAAATCTTGCTCAAACGGTTTGCTCTATCGAGTTAGATTGTAGAGTTTCGAACTTTATCCTAATTATCTTCTTCGATAAACAAGCAAGAGTGTTCTCAGCACGGACAAAATTCGATTTGAAGTGTAAAGACCTCCAGATTCTGGAACTAGAACTGTGCATGCTTTCACATGCTTGACAGTTGGGTTAGAAGAACAATCATACAAGCAGTTGAGAGCCTCGAGTACTGGTATACTCTGTACAGAGTTCTTCGATATCATAGTTAGTAAATTCCCAAAAAAGCTTATCAGTTTTTTCTGAACCTACAAGTTATTTACAATTATGTAGACAACTGTTCTGGGTCAAAAGTAGCATGCTTATGACACCAAGCTGACTACGCATGTGCGACTCAGCTGTCAGAATACATCCACTTGCTCGAATAGATCAAACATCCCAGATAAATGGATTAATAAAGAAGAAATTTGTAATTTCACTTGTCAGTGTGACATCATCGAGGATATCATCACACTGACGCATTCACCCACGTTTACTCTTCGCTTGCACAACAAAGTCGAGATCTACTCTGACCCTTCTAACACCATGTTCCAATCACAGAGTATGAAGGTTCACGAATTTTGTGTTCGAATGTTGTCATTACCTTGATGGCTCAGACGATTCAATGAGAAGATCTGATTGAAGACGATGCATGCTTTTTTCCCGCTCTAGCCATCGTAGGGTCTATCTTCCCGCTGGTCTTGATGCAGCTAGATTCGCATTCTCCCAGTACAATTGTACCTCAAGATTTTACACAACTCAGGGTTTGTTAGATCTGAGATATCTGCAATATCATGCATTGCATGACATTCGGCTTTCACATCGCACCATCTTTGCTAAGAAATTGATTTCAGATCCTCCTATCATCTTGTCTACTCAGTTCGGTCACCAGTGCACATCAAACCCTTCTCTGTCACCCTTATCTCCCAGAGGCGTTTCCGATAGACGTGAAGTCTTTTTTGCCACACGGTCTACGATTCAGCTTGGAACTAGAATCCTGGTATTCTGTGTTGATTTTTATTCCCTGCTTCCACTTTGCGCAATCTCCCTGTGTTCGTGATGATTGCTCATGATCCGCCTATCATGAGCAATCAAATATCACACGGAGTGATATTTGTGTCGCGACTTGTGCACAGTGCAAGAAGTCTCATGCCCAGCACGTACATGCACACGAATTATGACACTACAACGTGAAGACTAGTGTTCTTCGGGAGAGCCGGGCTTTCGGATTGAGGAGAGTGCATCCTGTCATCTCGGTAACATTTCGCCCGCGTATGCCAAGTAGCAAATGATTCTTCCTCTGTGAGAGTGGAGGAGAGAAAGGAAGATGCAGGTGCGTCCATTGTCAATCACGCTTCTGAATTTGCGACACGGGCAATGTACTCCGCAGACGAAGAACCGGAGCTTCCCTCCTCTGTACAGGACCTTATACGGCGTCTGGAAGGACAAGCCGAGCCTATAACATGGCTTCCCGATTTAAGCGGGCCAGAATTTCGGGATTTCTTTCCCGAGCGACCTTTGCTCGGGAATGAAATTCCGGAATCTATGATCGTCGAGAGCGAGGTTCGCTCTCGACGATCATAGGGTGGCGAAGCCAAGTGCGACTTCGAGTGCTGGAGGCAATCGGCAACTGCAACACCTTCGAGGTTCTCCACGTGCACGGATTTTGTGGCGAAGATTTATCGAGGTTGACTGCTAGCGAGTGGGAGGTAGTTTTGAGAGGTTTTCAGATCTAGCACCGTTCTACTGCAGATAAGCGTTTATCATTTGAAATGTAGTTCAGATGCGGAAGTGGAAACCTTGTACTTGTAGCTAGGGAAAATTCTGAAGTATTCTAGCGTAACAAAATTAAAATTGTACGATTGTAGAATCTCGCATCAGGAAATTGCTAGTGTTAAGAACTATGGGACGCGTGGGAGGACTCGAGTGCGGTGAAGCGTGTGGCTGACATGATCAACAGTGATCCTCTATCAAAAACGTTGCGTTTAGGCGGCTATTTGAATGACGTTGACAGTTGGAATCCTGTCCCAGGCTTTGATCTAGAGCTCGTCTTTGAAAGAATTGGTCCCAAAGGGTGTGGTGTGGGGAGCGGCCTTGTTGCTGAAAGCATTGGCCGGAGACGATTGCAACCGATCCATTGAACGTGTTCGGCTGTGGCGTATGAATAGATTCGGAGACTGTCTAAGGGAACTTCTTATTTCCAACGAATCATTGAAGGAAGTGAAGTTGCGCTTATTGCGGATGCCTCTTGAGGAATTGCACCAGCTCGGCGAAGTCACAGGTGACAATGCTATAGCGACAACTATACTTGTAAAGTTTGACTTCCAACTTATTGACGACTGGAAGTCAATAGAAACTCTTGCTCGTTATGCTAGCTCCGATGTCAAGGACCCCACAGTGGAGCTTGTACTCTTTACTAGGAGATACTTAGAAGTGATGTTATTGGTATACCTATTTGGTAATGTACTGCGCTGGGAAGTCAAATCTCTAAATTCTCTGAGTATATTGGCGGATGATAAAGAAATTATCATTTTCAGTATCCTTCCGATGAGTGGGAACACTAGAGAAACTGGAATTATCTGTCCGAAGCTGTGAGAACACGGAAACTTGTTTATCTTCTAGTGGAGAAGAAAACAAGCCTATATTCATCCTATCCGTGTGACTTCGAGTATCGTTCCAAGTACTCGTTAGTGTTAGGTCAGAAACTGCTCATAATCATACTCTCATATTCTATTTAATTTTCTCTTTCAGATGACAAAAACCCCAACGTAGATCGGTAAGAGATCACTTCACAACTAACCTAGAATATTCTGGCTAGCAGGTCACACAAGTGAGCACTTTCAGATGCATGAGGCTACAACGACAAACCAATCCGATCCGTGAGAGCTAGATTTTGGCGATCCTTGGACGACAAGTTCCACTTCCGAATCTGCTCTGTCTCACTGTAGACAAAAATTCTTCACAAGTTCAGGTGAGTCTAACCTGAGTATCCCTCAGTCGGCTCTAACCTTATAGACAGTGTTTCCCTGTGAATATTAGAGAGCCGAAAGATGACGCTTGAACTTCCACGACACGCCAGCGAATCCACTACTCAATCTCGGAGTCTAGATCGATCAGGGTCTTGCCTTTCAGCTTCCATCACCTTCACATCTGGTCTGCAATAGAGTCTCACTTCTCTCAGATCGACAACACTAAGACAGGAAGCCAGAGGTACAGCAGCTTAGAAAAACATAGCACTGTAAACTGATAAGGAATCTAGGAAGAAAACATGTAAGAACAAAGACACGGTAGTACCCGCAAGCTCCACTTAAATAAGTAGAGGCCACACACAAGCGGAGGCGCCGAAAACTCACTTAGAAACTCACTCAAAAACCCTAACTCCTAAAACTTTTCCAATCCTATCCCTGAGAGAAATCAGTATGTCAGATCCTACTTTTACTCGAGTTAATCCAAAAATCACGTCTGTACCACCTACTTGATCGTCGGCTTCGGCTCCATTTTCTTATCCTTGTCCCTGACTTTGTGGCTGACTTCTCTCGGTTGACTTTTCGGGACCGAAGAGGTGACAGATACTTAACACTTTTGACTACTAGTACCGATCCGGTTTTATCTAACTAACTGTAATAACCCACCAAAGGCTAAAACTGCAGTATGGTGGTAAAAAGATCGAACCCATAGGGACAGAGGCAACACACAGAGTAAAAGTGTCACGTTTAACAGACTTTTGTAGAGTTTGAATTCTAGGCGACTGTCACTCCCAGAAATACTGCAGTGCTCGACTCGGAGGCTCGACTCGGAGGAGGATCTCAACTCGGAGGATGCTCGGAGGATGCACGGTACAGCGTGGTCACTCAACACACACACACACACACACACACCTGAAACTGGCAAAAGCACAACTCGGAGGTCGGTCAGGACCTCCGCTTCGGATTTCAGGAGGAAAGTGTCTCAAAAGTTCACTCAGAGGTTCTGCAGGTAGTGCCTCCCACTCCGGCTTTTACTGCCCTTACGCCAGGAACTAGCGTAGGGTACCCGGACTGGACTTCCCACTTCGGAACGAAGCCTCTACATACGCCGTGGACGTCACCCTCGACTCTCACACCAAACGTAGGGAGTGCAGACCCGACTGAGAACTTAACTGAGACACGATCCAGTAACACACACACAACCTGAATTACAAACCAAGGTTTACACGAAGTAATAAAACTTCACTTTGGCATTCAGGGGAAACTTCCCGTAGGAGTACAATCAGGATATGTCACTCGAAGGAGTAAGGGGGAACTGTTCAAGTCTCTAACTCGCAGCCGGCTCTGAGCATCAGAAATCACCCGCAGGTGCAGATCCGCACTACTCAAGTCTCTAACCGGGTACTAGCTCTGAACATTCAGCCGAAGGCCTTCAACTACAACATACGGTAACTTCGCTATGCTGCAGCTTCTCTACGTGGTGCCAGGACCAAAATGCACAAACACGTCAAGAAAGTGAGTTCCTGATCTGCACTTCCGAAACTGGAAGAGTCCCAAGGCAAAACGCCTTGATCTACTTTATACCCTCAAAGGTCCTAACTAGCACTACGCTATCCTATCTACTGCTCGCAACATCTGCGCGAAACCAAACTATTCTACTGCACTCGGCGGATCCGGTGCTGCGCCTCCTACGCGCCGGACTACTCCGCTCGCTGTCCCTTCCTTGCCAGTCTTCCGACCGGCTGCGC